ATGACAACTCTCCCTCAGTAATTATTTCTCCATATAGCTCCAGCAAGTGTCTATGGCTGGGCAACTTCTGCCAACAACCTCATGCTCTAATGATTTCCAACCTGTAATCTTTTGTATTATTATTGAGGGAACGTTAGGATCAGTGGTTTTGTGTTAAATGTAAATCCTTTATTGTCCCACAATAGGGAGATGTAGATGTGGAGGCTAGCTTCAAGGTGGAAAAGCCCAACAAATTTGGAGCCAGCAAGAAAAGATTCAAGGCTGCCCTACCCGCGAACATCTTTGGATGCACCCCAGAACTGTTCATAAACTTCCATTTCATCAAGGGCAATGGCCTGTGGTCAGCGTTCACGGACAAATTGAACACACTCATCAATCATACACAAATAATGTCTGAAATGTCAGATTGACTTTCATGTGACCCCAGCCTCCGATGTGACCTACGGCTGAAATGTCTGTCTCGCGTTATATGTGTTTATCTTGTGCTGAGGTTTTTTGATATCTAAAACTGTATCCTGTAAAGGATAATGTGGCTCCTATCTTTCCACAGAGATAAAGGAAGCGCTACAGGGAACCACCTACAGGCTGGGGCCCTGGGCCGCCATACGAACATGCCAAAGGTAGCGTTCTGCGATTCGCATGGCCTCAATAAACCGTCTCCCCTCTCAGCCCCCCTACTCTGCTAGTTGAACAAAACAACTGAGCATCTACTCAAGCAAATTTCCTATCATGAGCATAGCTTTTGTTTTATTAAGGGTTTAATTAAGGTCCTATTCTGTAACAAGCATAGACTTTCTATCAGGAACAATCATATTATATCTGTGGATGCACAGAGCGCAGCTTGGAAGAAGGAGTTCTAGAGTGATGTTTGTTCTTAACTTACTTTTGAAATGAAATATCAACTTTCATAGTTCTCAGTCGTAACACCACATTTTACCAGCTCTTGGTGCTGAAAGAGCATAATTACCTGCTTTGATCAATATATTGGAAAATATGTTTTTTTATTTGCAGTGAGATCATGTGAGCTAAAATGTCCAAGAGTCTCAATTTTACAATGTTCTTTGGCTTTGTATAATAATCTTCAGAAAACATTGAATTGTTAATAATCATTGATGACATTTTAGGCAGAGTTGCTACATCATAGCTGCATCAAACGGGATCTACATAAGTCCTAGGGAGTCATACCATGAAACTATCTTATGTGTGGGTTATACTCATGTCTCAGTGTATCTCTGAGTATTTAGTAAAATCCTTAGCACATATTAAGCCTGTGCACAGTTTAACTTTAACATAATGTCCTCAAGGAGAGTAAGTGCTGGAGTAACCAGTTTATATATCTCATGCATCATTAAATTATTGATGATAATGTCCATATGATCAAAACGTGGTTTTCTTACCCAGGTCAAGCCGACTGCAGTTTGCAGAGCTTTTGATATCAAGTGGACATTTGTACACATCACCAGTCTGAAGTTCCCCTGTGAATTCAAGGGGAGCGCCAACAAGCAACCTGGAAAAACACAGAGAGAAATATGTTTAACTATCATTGAATGTAAGCTCCTCAGACAGGATTGACCAGATCTATTCTAGTACATTTTAGCCTGGGTTTTAGTTCGCAGAGCCTTTTTGCCTCTTTCTCACTGAAAATATTGTGTTTAATCGGGTTTTTCAAACAACGATCAACCCGCTAACAATTGGCATTTGGCTCCCTTCCCACTGGCAAAAGAAACTGGTCTAAACCCTCGCTGGGGGCTGCATGGCCTCTGCCCACCTCTACCTGTCTGAGGACACCGTCACGCTGTGTTGATGATGTCATCAGTGGGACAGAAATCAGGAAAGTAAACAATGGAGAGCAACATGTAAAGAAGCCAGGGCATAGTCAGCGTGCTTAGTGTGTTTCGCTCTATTATCTGTCTGGATCACTCTCATCAGAGCTGCTCCATGTTTATCGAATGTAAAGAGTTGTTTGAGCTAGTCAGATCTGAGGTGATTGGCACGGTGTGTTGACGTCCGCACATTCCGTTCAATCGATCATATTATTTAATGGGTCAACCTGGCTCTGGTGATCCGACAGCAAGCCAAACTGTCATGAAACAGGGACAGATGGATCCAGTATTGAAGGTGAGAAACACAGTGGGAAAGTTCAAAACGTTTATTAATCCAAACCACATAATGGAACAGAAGCTGGCTGCTGTGGATCTGTGGACCGCAGAGGCTGCAGGGGCGTCGGGGTACCACCCAATGACTGACACTCTGGAGGGAAAAATGCAGGTATGTGACCATGATCATCAGACGTGAGATGATTATCTGTGTGTGTCACTTACCTAGTTTGACAGTCAGTCCATCCTCTCCAAGGAAGGAAGGATCTAGCCAATGGAATGCCAAACGAGTTGCAGCGCAGAGCCGCCCAGACTGTCTCCAATGCAGCAACCTCAGTAAGCAGGCAGGAATACGATCCTGGTCAGGGAAAACAGATCAGACAGGGCAGTTCCGGAATCCAGGAGTCCACAGCCAGGTCAGGGGTTCCGATCCACACATGAACAGACAGATCCAGGCTTCGAGCAATCCACAGAGCGTTTAGGCAAGTTACATGAGTCCAGCAGGGAGCTCAGACAGACACGCTCAGATGCAGACAGGCAGGCTCAGTGGTTGAGGGACAGAGACAAGACATGGTACCAGGATAACTGAAACTTTAGGCTGGTCTCCACGTAGGAGCCAGGATTACGGGAATTTACACTGTACTCCACCAATAAAAACACTTAAAACCTCAACACACTGTCCTCTGGGAACGGGGACGCGAACCATGGAAATAACTCTAACTAACCTAAACCGAACAAACAACAATCCATGACCTGGCCCTGGTAGCTGGGCTGAGCCAAATATAAAGCAACAGAGGCAGGTGGATGTGATGAGCGATGATTAGGAACTGGGCAGAGTTAGGCAGGTGAATGAAGTGAACAATTAAGGTCAGCTATCAGGGCAGATCATGACAGGATCAGAGCCGAGACAATTATTATTATTATTATTTTTTTAGTTTACAACTAATAACAAAGAACACATGAAAATTACAACAGTAAAACTTTTCCCGATATAGACCTGTTAGACATCGTTGGAAAGCTTTGATTATCCACAATTCAATCACCAAGTTAATTTTATGGACACAGCGAGCCCCAACTCAAAATTAACACAAATATAGCAAAATCCAGAAGTCGTTTTATACATCCAATCTTCAATTGTTTACTACATTCGTCCATAAAGGCCCACAGATTAAAAGTAATCCAGAATATTCATAATAAAAACATTCCATGATGAGAAAAACACCACATAACGTCTGGTTGTTCTTATCAGAAAAGTTAGCTGGTCATAGCTAATGCTTAGCATCTTGCTAATATTTACTTCCTAAAACTTATTTCCTCAGTTGTTAGCCCGCAAAGTTTGGTTTGGTTCTTTACATCACCTTCATACCTACAAGACAAAAGTGTCAGCATCGTTTTATGATGCGATTTGAGTCAGGAACAGTCGCTGAAATCTAGCACCTAGTAGAGCGATATTCTGCTGTCAGCAATACATTAAAAAAAACACTAAAACAGCCTTTTGGATGTTTCTTTGACTGCTCTGAGAATGTCGGATGATGACGTCACTCAGTACAATGAAGAGAATGTAAAACGTCTCCATTTCTTCCAGAAAAGTCTTCAATATTTTCTATACAATGTAGTTTAGTATTCTTTTATGTTTTAAGTATATAAAGTATATTTAGTACCATATTGCATAGGTAACTACAACTCAAGTTCTAGTTAATCATGTATAAATAATCTACAGGTAAAATATCACAACAACCCATCATCCATGAGTAGAAAAACCAAGTGCACTGCAGACCTCACTCACTACAGTAAATGTGATTATATATGATTAATCAATAATGGACCAATAAATGTTTAGAAAAAAATGCTGCTAAAAAAATATGAATTCTCAAAAAAAGCTGTATAAGTTCAGTACTCAAGTAAATGTATTTCTTATCCTTTCACCTCTGATACCCTGGTAAAAATGATATATGCAGGCCATTTCCCTGCTGAATTGTTAAAGAGCCAGAAAGACTAACATTGTTGAATAGAGACACAAACAATGCCACATGTGGTTTGAAGGTAATTATGGAAAAAAAGGCAGTCACATTCCAGAGGAGATGCCACAGTGGAATTGCATGCCGTTTTTTTTTTTTTTGCTAATTTACCTCCGTCCCACTAATGTTGCATTTTCCCACATCAATCGTAGTGGGGAGGGGTTGATAAACCACATTTATAGAAGCAGACATACTAAATCTACAGCTTGAAGCTCTACACAGAGGAAACAAATTATCGGACCTGCTTTACTTTAAACTTCCAACTGTTTTGGTTGTGCTTTTTCACATAGCTTATTGAGTTATTGTGAATTGCATTTACATTTTATTATTAATATTCCCCAATAATGCGTTTTTGTTCAGGAGAAATAAAATTATCAAGCTGGAAGATGTCCAACATTTTTCATTTTGGAAAAAAAAAAAAACATCCAGAATTTCCCCACTGTGGGACACATAATTAAACAACGGGGCTATCAGCATTTTTATTACATTCACCTTTCCCTATAAAGAGAGTTTCCATTTTGCCCGTTTATTAAGTCATTCCAAAAAAGTTCAAAAACAATCCACTGGACCTTGTTTCCATATTTGAAGACATTTCTCTTCCCATCCAGGAAGCTTTTTCAATTCAAAATATCAGAAACAGGCTTTATAGACTTTATAGACTGGACCAAAGCAAAGCCTTGTTTTTGTTTATAAAATGTGCAAACCTAACCTGAGGATGATTATAGTGGGAAGGAATCAACTCAAGAGCTGAATTGTAGGTTTTTGAAAGCTGAAATCTGAGTCCACCTCCTCTTTTTAAGGTTGGTTTTACTTTTTTAACATAGATGGCTTCCTTTACGCCCCTCTTAAACCACCTGTCCTCTCTGTCAAAAATTTGAACTTTCTGGTCCTCAAAAGGGGACCCATTTATTAAGATTAATTCTTATTTTTTGAAGAAGCGCCTCCATATTTAGTAGTATTGATTCCTCTAAATTTGAAAGAAGATATATACTCAAATATTTCATACCTGAAGGGTATGATAGTGATATTAAGTTGCCTAATATCACTTGAAATGCATGCCTGGAATATGGGCATACACTCAGATTTGTTTTACACTCAGAATTTTTTATATGATTCAACACACTGTAATAGAGCTGGAATAGAGGCGATTGGATTTTCTATAACAGCTAAAGTTTCATCCGCATACTTAAGCAGCTTATGCTCTTTTCCTCCTGCATAATTCCTTTGGTTCTCAGGTTATTCTTATGTATTAGATGGGAAAGCCTTCTTATGTTATCAACTGCCGATCTGTTCATAAAGCCTACCTGATCTTCATTTATGATGTCCAGAACTACTTTTTCTTACCGTGATGCTAGTGTTATTGTTAATATTTTACAGTCTACTCTTTTTGCCATTACTGTTAATATATAGTACAAATTTTACACATTCAGTGTTCAAATGTTACAGGGGTTGGTGCGGGGTATGGTCATTTAAGAAGGGGGATGATTTTTTAAGATTCTTTTTAAAAAGGGGGATGCCTTCCCCCCTCAACTTGAGTAATGGCCATATCTATTAAACTTGCTAAATGTTATGTTGGGGTGGGGACAGTGTTAATTTCATCAACCAGGAGCATGACGAAAATATTTTGTTAATGCCCCTTTTTCCCGTGACGATAATGAGACAATAATGCACAAAAATTGTTTCCAGATAATAAAAATAAAAAATTATTTTCGTCAACGAGACTAAGACCAGTCGAAATTTAGGAGCCATTGAGGGATAGACATTAGGATTCGTAATTGTTTTTAATTGATTTGTAATTTGTAATTGTTAATATAAGTATTTCTTGAGCTACATAGAAGATAACGCGTTGTTGCCGTTTGTCCCTACACTGCGCCTGTGCACTACTCTGTAAGTAGCAGAGAGCTTATACTAGTCACTTGTAGTAGTTAACCATGGCTAGCTCAACTTCGCAGTCATTGAGTGGGGCTCTGATAACGGTGTACGGTTTGTTGGAGGAGCTGAGCAAAAACAATGCTTGGATGTATGGAACCATTTCATTTACAACGCAAAGGAAAACACCAGAGGAAGGACAACACCAAAGGGTCTGTGGCTTCGAAATGGCAGGAAAAAAACACAACAAATCTCAAGCAGTATCTGAGGTGCCAACAAGGTGGTAGTAGGAACTGATGGACCTGTAGTCCACTGATGGACCTGTAGATGTAGGAACGGTTGGGCCTGTAGTAGTAGGAGCGGGTGGGCCTGTAGTACTGGGAACTGGTGGGGCTGTAGTAGTAGGAACTTTTGGACCTCTTGTAGGAATGGCTGGGGCTGTAGTAGTAGGAACTGATGGACCTCTGGTAGTAATGGCTGGGGCTGTAGTAGTAGGAACGGGTGTGGCTGTAGTAGTAGGAACCG